ATAAAACTTAACACCGGGTGGTGATTTTAAAAGCTAGGAGACAAAGTTGACTGCTACACATTTTAAGTTCTATTCATTGACCATTTTTTATCTCATTATTTTCAACCAAAATTTAACATTTACTGGTGGTATTTTCCTGAGTGGTTTTTTTTTTGTTTTTTGGGGTTTTTTTTGAGTATTAGTTTTTCACTCAAGGAGATGAAAAATTTGGGCTGCATTTAGACAGCTAGGGGCTCACTTATAGGAATCTGCTATGGAGGGGATGGTATGGGGAATGATGTGTTATTTGGGAGATGCTGTGGCCCAGATAGTTTGTATGACCATGATGTCAGGAGTTGCCCACTCAAGTAGAGAGGCCAATATTAACATCTATAACTGGTGGGCACTGAGTTGCTGCTGGTGTGCTTTGCTCTCAAGGCTGTTGGGCAAATTTTTGCTGTAAAACTTTGTGATTTGAGGCAGTGAGTGGGAGTCCAGGTCACAGCCTTCAGCTGAGCTCGTGGTTCAGCTGTAGCCGTGAATCCTGGTCATGAAATACTCTTTTGCTCTGGGTCTCTAACTCAAATATCTTCTGGAGTTCAGATTTTATTCAGCTATTGCATGTAAACATCTCTCATATATAAGAAGTATTGAGTTTAAAGGGGTCAGTGAAACTGCTTTCAGTGAGCTCTGATGGATAATGTGCTTATGATTCTCTGCTTCTATATTCTGGTGGTAGAAATACAAAATAGAACTGAATGTCTGGCACTGAAATTGTGCAGGAAAAATCAGACCTGCAAATGCATGCAATTTCCTGTCCAGCACCGGCATTTCTGATATTTTCATTGCATGTATAATCCACTCGGCAGCTGAGGTTCTCTTCAGGCTCTTGAGGTGTTTTTTTCCATGCCAGACTGACAGCAGAAGGCTGCAATACATCTCTGAAGCTGGGGGTTTGTTTTAAATGGAGCTTGGCTCCTTTTCTGCAGAATGCTATTTCTGTTGAGAAGATCATTTACACAGGGGCAGTTCCAAAAGAACGGATAAGAGAAGTGATATGATTTGTTTAAACTTATTTTGGGGCACTTCACATCTCACTGTTTAAAATCCCCTTCCCTGAGCTCCCTTTCCTTCCCCTCTGGTCAAGAGAGTACTCACTTTGGAAATACATTTTCTCTACAGGAATTCAGTGTCATTTAATTGACTACACAGAAAATTGTGAGCAGCTTTACATGCTGATGTGTGTTTTTTTTTAAATTTACTTTATGCAATTGTAACAAAGCTTAGAGTAGTTGCAGTAGTAAAAGAATTTTTTGTGTGTGTGTTTTTTTTTTTTTTTTTTTTTTTAGTTTGGTGGCATTTCAGTGTTGAGGCAACAATGACTTCACTTGGTAATTAAACCTCATTTGTGAAAGATCTTTTCCCTATTAATTTGACCATTAAAGAAATGCTCTTTGAAGCTCGTAGTTAATCTTCCTATTTAAATGGCTGGGTTTTACTCAGATTGGTTACAGCTTAGGTTTAAATAGCAGCTAAAAATAGCCAACTGTTGTGCTGTACAGTTTAAACATCTATCTATAGTAGTAGCCTTTCTAGAAGGGAAACACATAGTAAAAGGCAGAGGAGACGCTGCCACTCGGGCAGCACTGGTTGGTTCCAACATCTCCTTTTCCTTGGGTTTTGCCCATCAGCTCCAGTTGTCAGCACTTGATCTTATGCTGGGATTAATTTTTAACAGAAAGCACTATGGGCTGGATTTGAGCACTGTTTCAATTGGTAATTAATAATTCAATGGTTGGGAGAAGTTTTGACTGTTCCTACTGAAGGCTGCTGCCAAGGGTGCTAAAACCTGGCAAAAATCTGGAAACTACCCAAAATATTTTCAAGAACATTAGGCTGTCAGAAAGACAAGGGCTGAAATCCCAATTTGTGAGGTTAGTGTCTGTTTTCATCTCTTGAGTGCCCTGTGTGATTCACACAAGCCTGACAAACCTGTGGATTTGAAGTGTTCAGCTTGATTGCTAAAGCCAGGGGAGTTTGAACTTAAAAGTGTCTGCAGTTAAAAAGGAAGCCGTGACAAAACTGCAGGAATCTGGGTGGATGGCAACCATTTACTTCCAGTAATTCTCTCTTGAGTTTTTGTTGTAGGATGGACATTTTGCAGGTCAAGGGATCTTGAATGAGTAGCTAACAAAAATACAATATAACAAAAATATAACCATAATATAACAAAAGTATAAAGGTGAATCTGTGTAAGGCAACAGAATTGCTTGTGCTGCTGTTACAGTTTCAGCTGGGATGGAGTTAATTTTCTCCCTAGTAGTTGATGCAGGACTGTGTTTTGGAGAATAATGCCGACAGCACTGAGGTTTTAGTTGTTGTTGAGCAGTGCTTACCCTGAGTTAAGGACTCCTCAGTTTCCCGTGCTGTGCCAGTGAGGAGATGCACAGGAAAGCAGGAGGGGACACAGCCAGGACAGCTGACCTGAACTGACCAAGGAGATATTCCAAACCACAGAGCATCATGGCCAGTGTGTAAACTGGGAGAGTTGGCTGGGAGGTGCCAGTCCCTGCTCTGGGATGAGCTGGACACCACTTAAAGGGTGGGTGAGCAATTACACTGAGCATCACTGGTCTGTCTTGAGTCTTGTTTCTTTCTTTATGTTCTGTCCCTTGTCATTGCAATTGTTATTTTGCTCCAATTTTTAAACTGTTTTTAAGTTGACCCACGGGTTTTACCTTCATTGCAGTTTTCCTCCCCATTCCACGAGGGTGGGACAGGCAGTGAGCAAACAGCTTTGTGGTACTTAGCTGTGGGCTGGGGTTAAACCATGACAGTTACCTTGAAATACCTTTGACAGAATAGAGTTACAGTGAAATCTGTGGTCCGAGAAAGAGGACAAAGAGAATCCAGATTTCTTTTTCACCTCCATACTTAGTTTTCCACAATAAAAAAATAGTACTTGAGGCCTTTTTTCAGTAAAAAATATTTAATCAGTCAGGTTAAATAGCTGAAATATTTTGCAGTATTGTTAAAGGTCAGACTTTTCGTAATGGCTATTTCCAGATATACCTGTATGTCAGGAGCCTCAAGGTTCTCAGACCAAGATATCCATCACTACAACAGGAACATCTGTTGTCACAGGGAAATTCAGTGTGAAGAAATCTGAAATATGGGGAAATATTGTTAGATATTTTAGGCTGCCCTTCTGAGGGACATGAGCTTATATTCACAGGAATCAATGGGACTATTGTATGTCCAGAGCTTTTTAAAAATATAATTCCCATAAGTTAGTTTTACAAAGGTCTTTATTGCTATTATTATGTCAATCTATTAATGTTTCTCATTCCACAAGAATAGTTTCTCTTTGCTTGCAGTGGCAGGAGTAGGAGGAGAGGTTAGTGGGGATGGCATACAGTTTTATCAAGTTGGTAAAAAGTGATTGTAAAAGAGATTCTGATAGCTTATTCTGTCTTTTTCATGGATTATTAAACTACTTCCATGTGTCAAGGCATTCGTGCTTCCACCATCCAACACAGTATTGTCACGCCTGTGTTTCTGCACAAACTAAGCAAGGTTTTGGCCACTGTGGGTAGCACAGCAGGTGAAGGAGTGAAAATGTGTTTTTTTGGTATGTGTTTGCTAACACTGAAGAGTGGAGATACAGATTAGATATTGGGAAGAAGCTCTTTACTCTGAGCGTGGTGAGGCCCTGGCAGAACTTGCCCAGCTGCCCCATTCCAGTGTTCCAGTCCAGGTTGGATGGGGCTCTGGGCAACCTGGAATGGTGGAAGCTGTCCCTGCTCATGGCTGAGGGGTTGAAACTGGATAATCTTTGTCACTTCCAACCCAAACCAGTCTCTCATTCTTTGTATCTGGTTCATTATGTCCCTGTGATCATTAGCTCTTGAATTGCTTTGCTCTGTAATTTGTGCTACCTCTCACAAGATATGTGCTAACTAAAAAGGACTTTTGGCACAGACCCACAGACTCAGAAATCTGAATTTGGCAGTGATAGTAGATGGCTTTCAAGTCTTGTGAAATCTTAAAGTAATTCCCAAACTGCAATTGCCTTTTATATCTCAGGTGAGTGCAAAATGAAGACAGGGTGCCTTCAGGATATGTAAATGCATGAAAAGAAAACTGGACAATAATAGTCTGTGGTTTTGTATTGTTCATTTAAAAATAAAAGCACATTTATTTCCTCAGGGACCACAGCAGCACTGAGTTCTTGTTTGAAGGTGTGAAAAATTTGGAGCTCCCATGTGAAAATGTTTAGTTCAAAACTCATCTGACCAGATGCATGAGACAGAAGGGAGCCGGTGTGGATGTTGGGAAAAGGGGGAATTCTCCAAGTTGCTGACAGTCTTAACTGTTTCAGTGCTTTCTGTCAGTGTGCTGTTCTTTACCTCGTGTTCTGGAGGAGGCAGGTTTCCAGAGGCAGTAGAAGGAGAATAAGATGTTGCTTCCCAGTAGAGGAGAGACTCTGGAAGGGGCTTTTCTGGAGAAAGAGTGAATCATAGAATCATCATAGAATGGTTTTGGGAAAGGGACTTTCTGGGTTGCTTGAAAAGCAGCATATCTCATGTTAAATGAGTATCCTTGCTTATCTGACCTGTTAGGTGGGCTTTGTAAGGATGGTAAAAAAGGAAGAACTTGGAGAATGTACATGATATATGATGCTGAAGCACTGAGCTAGAAATTACTTACTCTGTAATTTCTTGAATGGACTTGAAGAGTCAGGATTTGGAGGCTGGAGAGGCAGCACTCAAGGTATGAGATAAGCAGAAAGGATTCTGAGTTCCAAAGTGTCTCCTTACGACTCTGTGGGTTTGAATTTAGTTCTGGCAGAGCCCAACTGGGGCAGAAGTTGATACAAAGAATCACACTTGCTCTTGTAAACTGAGTCTTTACATTATTCAACTTCCACAACTGTTTTACTTGGCTGCTGAGCAAGTTTCAAAGACACACATAGCAGAGAGCTGGCTTCCCTATATTAACCCGAAACTTTGTTTCTATAGGATTAGCTCAGAACGCAGGAAAGAGAAGTCAAGGGATGCAGCCCGGTGCCGGAGGAGCAAGGAGTCAGAAGTGTTCTATGAGCTGGCTCACCAGCTGCCCCTGCCCCACACTGTGAGTGCACACCTGGACAAGGCGTCCATCATGAGGCTGACCATCAGCTACCTGCGCATGAGGAAGCTGCTGGATGCTGGTAAGGGAACAACGTGGCACTGTCTGGGAGGGGATATGGAGGAATAATCTGTTTGTAAGATCTGTCAGCAGTAAAATAAATGAATGAGTTATTAGCTGTGTCCTTTCTCTGGGAAGGTGGAGACTTTACAGTAGAAATCGGCTATTGGCAATGACACAAGAAAAATCCACTGTTCAATAGACTTCATTTTTTCCCTTTCTATTCTGGTGGTCCTGATTGCCTTGTCACAGCTGTAATGCCCTTTTCAGTCTCATTTGACCCTTCTCCCAAAGTTAGATTCCTTCATTTAAACCTCTTTTCCCCCTAAACTTGTTTGCTCCAGCTATGCTTTCTATAGGTAGTTGGTTCAGGGTTGGCTGAGCTAACTATAGTTGTGCCCCCTTAATATAAACTGCAAGGAGTAGTTTTGTAAATTGTGTTTCTGTCATGTGCTTCTCTGGAGGTGAAGTCAGCTGAGGATGTGTTGTCCCAGAAAGCCCCTGAGAGAAGTTTATAATGCCTTTTTGAGATGGGTGGTAAATTTTTTGCCACACAGACCTTTGCCTGAAGGTTAAGGGTTTATTGGTGAATACATAACAGCACAGAGGGTTAACCTCACTCTGATTTTCTGTGATTTCTGATACCTTTACTAGAGCTTGAAGATTTGAACTGATCATTTATCTAAATGAATTATACTGGTTTTGAATGGTCCTGCAAGATTCACTCCTTGCAGACTGGTGCCAGAAGTCATTCCTGCTGGTAAGTAAAGAATGGCTGGTGTTTGCTTAAATAAAAATGTGTGGCTGCTTGCAGGTGAGCTGGAGACAGAAGCCAAAATGGAGAAGGAACTGAACTGTTTCTACTTGAAAGCTCTTGATGGCTTTGTCATGGTTCTGTCTGAAGACGGGGACATGATCTACATGTCTGAAAACGTGAACAAGTGTATGGGACTCACTCAGGTGAAATACTGACATTTCCTAAGACTGTTTAAAAAAGCTGTTCCATTTTTGTGTATGTGGAGTTAAACACCCATGTACCTCTTAATTGTTGCAGTTTGAGTTGACGGGGCACAGTGTATTTGATTTCACTCATCCATGTGACCACGAGGAGCTGAGAGAAATGCTTACACACAGAAATGGTGAGAAGAAAGAAAAAAAAATCAATTTAATTTACTTATGGGTAGTTTCTGTTGGCATTAATATAGTTGGATATCTGCCAGAAAATGGTGTTGGGTTAAAAAGCTAATATGTTTTTATTTCTTAAGTCTCAAATTAAACCTTGTTGAGGGACACTAACAACAGGAATAATCAAAATGTTTTGGCTGTATCCTAATTGTAGAAGAAATGAGACTTCATTAGGATTCTTTAACAAAATTACTAAAATGGAGTTCTTCAGGGTTGAAAGAATAAGTGCCTACAGAAAATTAGAGGTAGGTTGAATGAGAATGATTTTAAGCAATTGCTGTAGAGGGACATGGAGAAGCTCAGTTGGTGCATTTATCTTGGTCTGGCCTTGCAGGGCAGCTGAGAACAAATGCTTTCTTCCAGAAATCTGTGGTTGTATACACAAGACAAAAAAAAACATACTGTATTTAAATTTTAGGACACCAAGACACTAATCTGGGAATACTTGAACAGCCCTAAAAAGGGCTTTGGGGTTGATGCTTCTCTGCACCTTTTAATTGGTGCATGAAATTGGTATCTTTTCACAGATTTCTGGCTCTTCTGAGGGAACAGAGCACTGTGTTTACACATGCTTTATGCTTTGAAATGTAACAGTTGCTCATGAATTACAGCTTTTATGTCTTCTAAAGATTCGATAAAGGCTATAAAGACTTGGCAGCCTACATGCCTCCAAACAAATTCGCTTTACTCAGTAGTTGGAAGCCTAAAGTCTGACCTCTCTACTTCCTTGCTGTTCAAATGAAGGTTATATGGACTCTGAATTCAGATAGTGATAAATGAATAAACCTGACCTCTGTTTCTTGTAGCACTGTATATCTTGTGTAAGTCTTATGTTGTCATCCTAGTTAAATTCTGTGGAAGACACCTGATAAGATACCGTAGCATTAAGGGCCTGACTTTGGTTTTGTAAGCATTTTGTAAACTTGTCTGCCCTTAGAATTGAAGTATGTTTCTAAGGCTAGATTAGACTTCTCCCCCTTTGGAATACAGTAATGCATCTTGGGGATGGGGAAACAATTTCCCTAAAGCATTGTAAAAAACCTGGTTTTGTTGCAAAAGCTTATTCTTAAAAATGCCATATCACTGAGTTTCATGCAAACCATCTCAAGCATGTCTAAATTGGCCAGACTGGAATCAGATGTCTGGAAAGCATTATTGCAAAAGCTGTTTTGCAAATGACATTGGCAGACAGAAGTCTAAATTACAGTAGTAATAGTACATTTTTATATTTATTAGTATTCCCAGGTTGCCTTCTACTGCAGCTCTTACATCAGTGGAATTATTTTGGTTTTCAATTGAGTATTAAATATTCCCCTTTGGGACTATGCAAGTGAATATAAATGCGATTGGCAGAAAGAAGAACTGCATTCTCATTTTATGAAGCTGCTTTTTAAACTTTCAAAGCTGGCCATTTTAAAAAATAACGTCTGGTGCTGAATCAGACTTGAAAGTTGCTCCATCTTTTACTGCTGCTTCACAAAGCAGAGCCTCATGCATCAGGACTTGGAACAGTAATGGTTGTGTGATCTTCAGCTATCAATTCTGAGATTGGTTTAACTCTTAAGACTTACTGAATTAAAAAAGCTTTTGCTGCTTTGGTGAATTCTGCTTTAGTTTCTCCCCCACTTCCTCCATTATTAAGGTTTTAAAGTAGCATAAAATATGCCTGAGCCCTTTAGTCTTTGCCTCTGCTAGAAGCAATAAACAAGTTAGCATAGGGGCTTTAACATTTTTTCTAATTAATTTTGTCCAGCCAGAAACTGCAGTGCAAGCCACCATGGAGAATTTCATAGCTACTATTGTCTGTAGAGGATGAGAGCAAATTATTGTATAAACTTGTATCAGAAGTAAGCTCACATGTTCTAAAGTGCCCCCTCTGCCATGATTTGGTCCTTGCTCTTTAGCAAGCCTCAGCAAACTGGCTCTTCCACTGCTCCTTCTCCTGGGTGCTGCATTTCCTCCTTGCACACATTGTGAGCTGCTTGCAGCTCTCCTGATAGCATCAGTTACATTTTCTTTGCCCACAATAGCGTAACTAGTAGTTACAGATCTGTGAGGATCTCCCTGTGCAGACAAAAACTTAACTTAAAGCCTGCTGGTAGCAAGTGAGGCTAAAAAATAAGTGCTGCCAACATTGATTTGTATTAGGGTTTCTTGACTCTTTTTCTCCTAAAATTGTTAGTACTGTGTTTAAAAACTTGGTCCCTGTTTAGTCCAAGCGTGTAAATCACCATGGAAATATTTGGATGCATATAAACAGCTGAGTTGTTAATTTTGAATTGAAAAACTTGCAGTCCTAAAGAGCAACGAGCCAGAAAGGTGCTTGGTTTGAATCTCCTCATAGTGAGTTACTGATGCATTTCAGTGGAAACCACCTCAACGGGGCTTCTTATTCTACATATGTTTTTCTTGTCCTCTGTCACAATTTTAAAATATATTAAAATTCCAATTGGTCTCTTTCTTCCTGCTCCTTTTACCTGAAATCTGGGAGTGTGGAGTTGGCTACAAATACAATCCTGATGATAAAACATTGAAACTGGGCTGCATCAAAAGCCTCTCCTGTGAGGACAGGCTGAGAGAGGGCTGGGATTGTTCACCCTGGAGAAGAAATGGTTCTGGGGAGCTCTTTGAGTCTCTTCCTGTACCTAAAGTGGCTCCAAGAGAGCTGGAGAGGGACTTTGGGCAAGGGCTTGGAATGACAGGACAAGGGGAATGGCTTCCCACTGACAGAGGGCAGGGTTAGGTGGTTTTTGGGAAGGAATTCTTCCCAGTGAGGGTGGTGAGGCCAAAGGCACAGGTTGCCCAGAGAAGCTGTGGCTGCCCCATCCCTGGCAGTGCTCCAGGCCAGGCTGGGTGGGGCTTGGATCAACCTGGGATAGTGGAAGGTGTCCATGCTTATGGCAGAGGGATTGGAACAAGATGGTCTTTAAGGTCACTTCCAACACAAGCCATTCTATAACTTCATGTAACTTCAGGGTTTTATCTACTTGATAGTAAAACTTGCTCTGAAAAATACCATTATCAGAAGTGCTATTAGGTATATGAATCTTTTTAGTTTATTGTTTGGGTTTTCCCTTAGCCTTAGAGTTCTATAACGTGTTTGTGGAGGGTTTTTAATGCCTTTGGAAGATTATCCAAGTATTTGAAACATTGATTTGCTTTTTGCTTCTGCTAGGTCCTGTGAAAAAGGGCAAAGAGCAGAACACGGAGCGCAGCTTTTTTCTCAGAATGAAGTGTACACTGACTAGCAGGGGAAGAACAGTGAATATAAAGTCTGCTACATGGAAGGTAACTAATGCAAAGGATTATTTGCATAGTTTGGCAGTTTCCTCTTCAGATGTCATAACACTGTATTTCAACATTTTTGCTTCATGTAACGAGCTTGAATTTCACTAAGTGCTTTATAATTTAATGATTGTGCTTCATTATGCTGAATTTTAATGCTGAATACATCACAGAGGTAACTGAAACAATGTTTTAAAATTAGTTTTTCAAAACACTTTTAATGAATTTTCCATTTTAAATTAGAGGTCATTTACTTACAATTATAATTACCAAATATGCTTGCATAAAGACTTCTCTGGGAAAAAAGTACTTGACATCACTTATGCTGATCCCTGATTTCTTTTGATTTGTCACTGAAAACGTGATAATTGAAGTCTCTCTGAAGGACTTCAATGCCATTCTTTTGAAGCTGCTGGCTCTCCCTTTTGTAACAGTTGGAACAAAAAGAGGCCAGCCTGATAACTTTCTGCAGTGAATGCATTTTCTCCTCTGGACAAAGTAACCTTTTACTGTATCCAGTGGATTATGGCTTACAGTTCTCTTTTATGATTTGAATTTGATTATTCTGGATCAAACAACTTCTTTGCTTCTGTCTGTGAACTATTTCTGCTTCAGAATGGTTAAAAAAAAGCCTACAAAATGCAAAAGTTCCTGTCTGTTGAAGAATGTATTTGATCTCTGTCATCACCTCTGCAGAATATCTAAAATGGGGGTTGTTACTATTACCATAACTTTCAGATTTAAATTGTGGATACCTTTTGCTGAGGCAGCTGCTCGGAGTTGTCATTACTGTGACTACAAAGAAGAGTTCACAGAAATGCAGCAATGTCTGGTGTTGCTTCAGCCAGTGCTGAGGAAGGAGCTGGGCTGTGAACCCATCCCAGGATGTGTGGGGTGAGGAGGAGGAGGACACTGCTCTCCTCCAGCCTCCCCTGTCACTGTCCCCTTGAGGGGTGGGGAAGGACTTGGCTCTGGGTGTACTGGTGGAGATAGGATTGTGTTGTCTGACAGTCCAAACCTGGTCTTTCTAAACCCCAACTGCCCTGTAGGTGCTGCACTGCACTGGCCACATCCGTGTGTACGACACGTGTGGGAACCAGACTCACTGTGGATACAAAAAGCCTCCCATGACCTGCTTGGTGTTGATCTGTGAACCTATTCCTCACCCATCAAACATTGAGGTCCCCCTGGACAGTAAAACGTTTCTCAGTCGTCACAGTCTTGATATGAAATTTTCCTATTGTGATGAAAGGTAATATATATGATTTATAATGTAAAAAATAATTTGTTTGAAACATTTGCAGAGCTGGTACATGTTGGCTAAAGTTCGCCTTCTCAATAACTTAATTCATCTTGACAATGCAATCATTGATGGCATACTTGGGTTTTTCCTAACTGATCAGGATGTCTTAAAAACCGGATTTTTAGATCTGTGGAGGATGCAGGGTTATTACTTTGGAATAATGAAGGGGAAAGGGACTTTTTATACAGGCAGATAGTGATAGGACAATGGTTGTAATGCACAATGTTGTGCATGTTTAGATTAGACATTAGGAAGAAATTCTTGATGAGAAGCTGTGGCTGCCCCATCCCTGAAAGTGTTCCAGGCCAGGCTGGATGGAGCTCTGAGCAACCTGCTCTAGGGAAAGGTGTCCCTGCCCATAGCAGGGATTTGGAATAGGATGGTCTTGAAGGTGCCTTCCAACCCAAGCCGTTCTGTGATTCTGTAAATAAATCCTTTGCCTTCAGTTAGCTGCCTCTTCAAATTGGTCTTTACTGTAGTGGCAGTGATTTAAATTAAAATGAGAAGATTCTTCCAGGAAACTGGAAATGGATTCTTCTTTCCACTGAAAAAGCAGGATTTTAGGTTTGTTGAAGATGGGGCATTTTACTGACTGAAAAGAGTGTGTGTGTGTGTAATACTTGTCAGATGTATTTTATTGCTACTGCTTCCCCCTCTCCCTTCCTCAGGAGATCAGTGTCTGCTTTCTTCTTCAAGAAACCACAGATGTTCAGCTGTACTTTCAATGCAATACATCTGCTGTTGAAAAATTAGATTTTGTGTTCTGGTGCAAATCAGGGGTGTAGTCAGACACATCAAACTGATTTTCCTATCCTCTGGGAACTTAGCTTGATAAATTTGATAAATGCAAATGAAGGAAATAGTCAGCTCAAGGTTTTTTGTTTGGGGTTGGTTTGTTTCATTTTTTTGTTTGTTTTTAATTTGGTGTTATTTGTTGCTACCCATTTCCTTTACAACAAAAGTGAATTTCTAGTTAATTGTTGCAGTTAGATGCAGAAAGAGGTAATCAGACGCAGGTAATCTCTGACCTCTGGAGTAACAACCTTTCTAGGACTGATGGTGTCACATAGAAGGTACTTACTTGGTCACATTCTGCATCTAGAATAGGGCAAAATACAAGCACTTCCCTGGTTAGCACTGCCCTCTAGAGACTGAAGAAATCCCATTTGCCTTAAAAGCAGGCAGTGCTTGAGTGGAAAGAGTAAATCTGATTCCTCATTTCTCTTGGTTGCAGGATTAAAACTGTTGAAGTGTATCGTTGTTATTTTGTTAAATTCTCTTTTTTGCCTAAGCTGGTCTGTAAGTAGCTGGTCTACCTTGAAGCAAAAATAAAAAAAATGTCTAAAGAGTGGGGATTTGTTTAATCCTATCCCCACTACACGATTTATAAATCCTCAGTGAGAAGTAAAATCCTATGCCTGCTGAAGTTTCTCTTTTAAAGAAGCATCAAAATAGCAATTTTTTTTCAAAATGAAAAGTCCCAGTAAACCAAATTGCTGCTAATATGTGTGGAAGTGATTCTTAAGGTTTTTCTAGATGTGCAAGCACCCAAATGCTCTGGTATTTGTGCTGGCCCATGTCTGCTTTCACGTAGCAATTTTTTCCCTTGTTTTAAAGAATTACAGAGTTGATGGGGTACGAGCCAGAGGAGCTCCTGGGTCGCTCAATCTATGAGTACTATCACGCACTGGATTCTGATCATCTGACCAAAACACACCACGACAGTAAGTGAAAACTGAATTTAAAGCCCTCAAACGACAGGAGATGAGAGACAGCCCTGGGGGAAAGCAGCAGAAGAACAAGGGCTTTCTTTTAGTTGCAATGAATACTGACCTCAAACAGTTCTGGGGTTTTTCTGCCTGTAATTAAAGCTGATGTTCTTTCTGCTTTTAGTGTTCACAAAAGGACAGGTGACAACAGGACAGTACAGAATGCTGGCCAAACAAGGTGGCTATGTCTGGGTTGAAACTCAAGCAACTGTTATATACAACACTAAGAATTCTCAGCCACAGTGCATAGTGTGTGTGAATTATGTGTTGAGGTAAGTTGAGTGGACTTCAGTGTTCTTTGTAATCATTTTTACTGAAGACCAAGGCAGATTCTGATGGCACTGGTCCCCTGCTGACTATGATGATACTGTTCCCTACCAAGGAAATTTTTCTTCGAATACTAGATTAGAAATTGTATTTGAAAACAAAATGCTTTTTTGGTCTAGTGATGTCAGTAGATGATCTCTGCAGGCAAATAAGTATAGAACTAGCCTCTTCTGTATGATTGGAAGCACTTGAACATTTGTGTGCATTTTAGACAACTCTCTAATCTTTGTCCCAAGTCTGGAGCAGTTAATTCCACTAATAACTTTGTCGTGGAGTCAGAGCAGCAGTAGTGCTGTCATTCTCAATCCCATCTATCTTTTTCTTCCTTAGAACTCCTCTTTTAATTGAAAGCTTCAGCTGAGGGCAGACTGAGTGACTGTTCTTCTGCAAATGTCTAATAGTCCTAAATTAGTTTTTCAAAACTTCAGTGAATGTCCCAGTATAAATCTATCAAGATATTGCACATTCATTTAAAACAAGGAAAAGTAGTTTAGGAAATATCTAACTTTTCCCCCTTTTTTAAAAGATCTTTTCCTTTTTCAATGCTTTCAGGAAAGCATGTTTATATTTGTTACTTTTTTTATGATTGCACCACAATTAGTGCTTGCTTTGTCTGTTACTTTTGAGGAAAGAATGAGTAATAAAAAACTTCTTAAAGCCCTTATCCTGGTAATTTTGTGGGGTATGTGCAGTGGGGTGTTTTTGGTTTGGTGTTTTTGGATGTGGAGAGTGTGTAGGTTTCAAACTACAAAATTATTAAGCCAGAATTTATTCCTTTTAGTTGTTCTTTAACAGTCTTCTTCCTCTCTGTCTGACAGTGGAATTGTTCAGAAGGACTTAATTTTTTCCCTTGGACAAACTGAGTGTATGCTGAAACCAGTGGAGTCTCCTGACATGAAAATGACCAAAATATTCAGTAAAGATGACCTGGATGATACCAACAGCCTATTTGAAAAACTTAAACAGGAACCAGATGCTTTAACTGTCCTGGCCCCAGCTGCTGGAGACACAATTATCTCTCTAGATTTCAGCAGTAATGGTGGGTGTGTGTTTAAATTGGAGTGCATGTTAATTAGCAAAGTTATTGTTTTACAGTAGATTTCATAAAATAACCTCCCAGTACCACTTGCCTAGTGGTATTTCAGCTGCTGTTTAAATTTAATGAGGTCCATAGACACGCACAGTACTGTTACTTAGGTTGATGGTTTCTTTTAATTTTTATAGAGTCTGATGAACAACAATGTGATGAAGTTCCTTTGTATAATGATGTAATGCTCCCCTCATCCAGTGAGAAATTGCAGAATATAAATATGGCAATGTCCCCACTACCTGCCTCTGAAACTACAAAGCCACTTCGTAGCAATGCTGATCCTGCACTCAATAGAGAAGTTGTATCAAAGCTGGAGCCAAACACAGAGCCACTCGAACTTTCTTTTACCATGCCTCAGGTGCAGGAGCAACCAACCAGCCCTTCTGATGCAAGTACCAGCCAAAGTTCACCTGAGGTGAGTTTTGTAATTTGGATATGCTGTCATTAAGATGGATGTGCTATTGGGACTTGTGGGACAGATCTGGTTAAGGATATAGCCAGGATAGGAATTGGAAATTATTTCTACCTTATGACTTAAGGTCACGCCATGATCTGAGGAAACTGATAAATTGTCATACCTTTTCATTAAAGTGAGTCTTACAAATGTATGCAATACAATCTGATAAAAATAAGGAGAGCTTGGGATTTGTCTTTTTCATTCAGTTGGTTCAGGCACAGCTTCCCTGAGTAGCAAAGTAGTTGCAGTAAATTACTGTAGAGGCTACTTCCAGGTTTCAACTAAGCAAGTGCTTCTCTAGTGGGGTAAATTTGAATGTATACAGATAAATGTGTTTTCCTTTCCCATTTTAATTTTGTGTAGCTACAGCTTGGGATTAGTTTCTACATTAGAACATATTGTAGAGAATCTGTAGGTAACTATGCCAAGTGATGCAATGACAGAAGCCTAAAACTGTTCAAAATGTTTTCACAGCCCAGTAGTCCCAACGACTACTGCTTTGATGTGGATAATGATATGGCCAGTGAATTCAAACTGGAATTAGTGGAGAAACTCTTTGCCATAGATACGGAAGCAAAAAATCCATTCTCTACTCAGGTAAACGTACAGTAACTTAAAATTCTTTATCATCTTATTCTGAGTATACTTCTTTTCCTTTTTAGAATGTTATCAGGAACCTCCTTCCCTTTTTATATAATATTTTGATTAACGTGTAAAATAAAAAAAAATTATAAGGATTTGGTAAAAGGAAAAACCTTGATGAAGTCATAGCTGAGGTTTCTTCCACACTGATTAGTTCCACCTCTTGTCTCTTCCAGGAAACCGATTTAGATTTAGAGATGTTGGCTCCTTACATCCCGATGGATGACGACTTCCAGCTGCGCTCCTTCGATCAGCTGTCGCCGCTGGAGAGCAGCTCCCCCAGCTCTCAGAGCGCAGGCACCATCACCATATTCCAGCAGCAGGCTCAGTCGGCAGCGGGCAGGGCTGAGGAGGTGAAGCCGGCGGAGCGCTCGGACGATGTGAAGACGATCGTGGTCCCTTCCTCGCCCGCGCGCGCGGTCCCCGAGCCCAGCAGCGCCCCCGGCTCGCCCTACGGCGGCAGCAGGAGTCGAACTGCCTCGCCCATCAGAGCAGGCAAGGGAACAGTGGATCAGGTGGAAAAGCCTTCTCCAGGAACACCCAGCTTGCTAACAGTCACTCTGAATAAAAGGTATTTTAAAAGTGCAGCTTAAGCCCTGGTACCTGTTCAATGAATTAGATGCAAATTCTGCCAGCTGTTGTATGTTCATCCTCAGCATTCTTCAGAGTAGAAATTGAGATGTTTAAATTTGGGCATGTCAAATGAGTCTTTTTTTAATAGAACTCCCCTAAAGTTAATTTCATGGCAGTTTTTACCTAAGCACCTCATGTAAAAGCCAGCTACTGTGAAAATTCTGTCCTGCTCTTGTACCTGATGTGCAGCCTTTATAAGAATGCAATAGGCAACTTAGGTAGTTACACCCACACAATGTTTCTGGTGCTTTCCTTGTCCACTGTGTTAGAGGCAAGAGGCAGCTGCAGTCTGTGCTACAGATACTGCAGATATCAGATAGACATATGTCTGTAAGCAATAGATATTTTTTTCAAATTAAATGTGTTTTGTGATGGACTGCCTGTAGTAGATATTTATCACAATAGGAAACTATACTAAGTCAAACATGAGATTTGTGATATGTAAAAGATGTATCTGTACATACAAATATTCAGAATAGACTTTCCCTCACCCTTCCTCCCCTTCTTTCTGTTGAAAGTGAACTGCTGAACTTTTATGCTTTTTTTTCCTGCAGATTTAAAAATTTTTGTTAAAACTCATTCTGAGCTTCACAGCAAGATTAAAGGCTAACATTTGCTATGCTCATAGAAAATGATTATTGAAATAAGTCAATTTATGAACGAAAAGTAGTGGAGTTCATAAATTCAATTCTGTGATGTTGTATATATAAGTGTCCACGAAAGAAGAATGGCTTGAGGAAAGTAGAAACGTCTTAACAGCCTGAATCAATTTTTCTTAGATCTACTGCACTGGATGAAGAACTAAATCCAAAGATGCTAGCTTTGCATAATGCTCAGAGAAAACGAAAAATGGAACATGATGGTTCACTTTTTCAGGCAGTTGGAATTGTGAGTTTTGTTTTACCATTTTAAAATATTCACTTTTAACTTTGCAATTTCTGAAATGAGGCATCAGTGCAGACTCCTGAGTTGAGCTGTTGGTAAGCAGTGGAATCTTGGGATGAGAGATAATTGATAGTGAAATATATATATATATATATATATCTGCAGATACTCCACTGCTAGTTCTCTTTTACTGTCATCTTTTTGAAAGTGCCTCTAGACTCAAGTGCATTTCTTGATTAGGTAAAAGATACTCTTTAGTCTTCTGTGAACATATGTATTTCTTTAGTAGAATATGCACAAATGTAAGACATCACATTTAAATGTGTAATTGCTGTATTTATTTAACTTTAGAATTCAAACTCAGTTTTCATATTTGTCAACACTGGAGTTTAGTGTTCTCATGCTTCATCCTATGCTTTTATTTTTCCACTGGGTCTGAGATTCCTTTAATCAGATAACAAGACCATCTGAACTGTGAGGGAAGAGAGCTTCTATAATAACTTAGCAAATGTCTATTACTGCCACTCCCTTTCATGCATGCTCTCTCTAGTATTACTGTGGGCACTTGAGAGTAGCTCATCCTCATCTGTCCTAGCTATTCAAAAGAAACTTTGTAGATCCTCTTAGATTTGTGTCACTTGATTGGGGGGGTCTAGCTTGTTATTTTCTGCAGGGGTATGTTGTCTCGGGAATCTTTGTCTCTCACTGTCAGTTCTCAGTATTTTGAAACCTTGAGCTTTGCCATGACACACTGTTCTCTCTGTCATCTTCACTGTAAATTCCCAGTTGTCAAGTTTTGAGAAGCCTTGGTCTTAAGTCTTAATTCCTCTACTGCAATGTAGCCATTGAGCATTACAGTCTGGGCATAAGACAAAACAGTTTTTCTATGCCATTTCTATGTGGTTGTTTTCATTTGCTAAATGCTTTGCACTTCCATGCATGTTGTTCTGCTGCTTCCAGAAGTCCTGTAGGAATTCGCAGCTCTGCAAGAAATGTTACTGCCTTCCACTGCCCTTTTCTCATGCAGAGGTGCTGCAGCTCATAGTGTTGCTGATAAAATATTCAAAACAGCATGGGATGTCATTAAATGCACAGAACACAAGCAGTTCAGTGTTAACTGCTGGAATAGTGTTCATGCTTCTGTGCTTAGTGCCAGTTAAATGCTTACAGGTTCAGGCTTCATCCTTTGCTAAACCTTTTTCTTTTGTCTGTATCTGACAAAAGTGTTATAAATATTTTGATGGTTTCTCAGAGTCAGAAGCTGAATTTCCATGAAGCTGGGTCTCAGTGGAGTTATTTTAAGAAGTGTGCTTTTGTTGTTTGGCTTCTCTTTCCACAAAGGATTTCTGGGAGGATATACAGGCCTCTGGCACAAGCAGAAAAAAATGATGTTAAATCCAGGCTTAGAATACATGCTGTTCTAGGGTTGTACCAACACTTGCCACAACTTTTTAGCTCTAGAGAAGTGGGATGTGTTTTGCAAAGAGTGAAAATAAGTGAAGACCAAAGCAGAATACTACTTTATCCTCCTAGAAAACAGGAGAATTAGACAAGGACAAGATATAGTAAGGTTATAAAATATTGTATTATAGTGAGGTTATAATTATATCATTACACTGGAACAGTTACAAGCCATATCTTTCTAGACATGAAGGGCTGGAATGCATTCATAGTAAAAAAATAAGCAGCAGCAGCAATGTAGGTAATCTCATTAGGAACTGCAACTCTGAGTTAACTGTAACTTCTACTACACAGCTGCTCTTTTGCCTTACATGGGTGTTTTATAACCTGAAAACATATGCTCTTCACTATTTTGAGGATAATGGCAGTGTTCTGAAATACCTTCTCCTCTTTTTGCTGCAGTCAGTATCAGTAACAAGACCAAACTTTGCAGATTCAAGTACTTTTGCCAGCAGACTTGATACTAAAATGATGCTTTTTTCCTTCCATCCCATCTGTTTCAGTGGCAGCTTCTTCTTCCTTATCCCAATTATACGAAGCCCCTTCACCTTCCTAATATCCATATCTTCTGTTCTGCTGTCAAAAGAATATGCTAAGGAGCCATATCTGCACTAGACTGGTGTAGAACTGCATTTTCCACAGGGCTTGGGTCTGGTGGCTTGGTGGCAATAACTGGAGTGCAAGCAGAATTTATATCCTAAATGTGTAGATAGGATCACCCTACTGAGGTTCCTGACTCTGCTGCCTGCACTATTAATTCCAGTGCAGAAAGCCATTAGAGACTCCAGTGAAAAGCTGATGCTTAATCACCCCAGAGCAGTGGTAATTAAGTGGGTGTGTTTGTGTACATGTACACGTTAATTTTGAGCGTGGTAACTGATGATAACCAGGATTTTGTAATTGTTTTCTGTAAGGGAGGTCAGGTCTTGAAACCTGATTCGGTTTTCTGTTAAACAATTTTCAAGTTGGAAATATATTGGAAATATAGTTGGAAATATATTTCTCCCCAAATTCTGAACAAAATCCACTTTAAATTGTATCTATGCCACATCAGTGTAACTTAGTGACAGAAACTGTTCATTTGTAAGAGGGATGTGGAGGGTTACAAAGATACGATATTCACTAAAGAAGATTCATTTTATTTCTTTCTAGGGGTCTTTATTCCAGCAGACAGCTGACAGTGGAGGAAATGCATCACTTGCTTGGAAACGTGTAAAGGGATGCAAAACAAATGGTCACAGTGGAATGGAGCAAAAGACAATCATTCTACTATCAACTGGTTGGTACTTTCCTTTCCTAGGCAGAGGGGGTGGAGGGGGCTGTGTGAAAGAGAACAGAGTCTCCAAAGCTATCCAAACGTAGCTCCTTGTGAACAGCTCTAGGAGAGGTTCAGCATGGTGAATAAAGTGCACTTTTTCTCCTTCCCCTCCCTCTCCAGACATAGCGAGTAAACTTCTAGGGCAGTCGATGGATGAGAGTGGACTCCCCCAACTCACGAGTTACGACTGTGAAGTAAACGCTCCCATACAAGGCAACAGAAACCTGCTACAGGGGGAAGAACTGCTCAGAGCTCTGGATCAAGTTAACTGAGCTTTCACAAAACTTGCTCCTTTTTTGGACACTGGTGAATCATCACCTAAAGCAGTCTATTTATATTTTCTATATCTGATTTTAGAAGCCTGGCTACAGTACTGCACTAATTCAGTTAGTTCAGTTTTGATCCCCTTTCTACTTATTTTGACAGTCTTTTTAATATGTTCTTTATGTAACAATAACTCAAACTCTAGTGCATTTTTATAATTCTTTGGTACATACACTTTTAAGTCCATTACATTTAAAACACACTTGCAATAGCAGCTTTGAAATATGCACCTGATTAAAAAAAAAATATATTTATTTTTTGGCTGGGGAGTTGGTCACCAAAACTTATCATTAGTAAAATGTCAACACAGGAAAAACTGGCAATACTTCCATCCTGCTTTTCATAGGTAGTTGGAAGACTTGTGCTCTCTTACTCTTTATGTTCAAGTAAGTTTTTTATGTTAATAGTTTTTATAAGAAACAACAATGCTTTGCAGCGGTGCATTGTAGCCACAATCGCACAATATATTTTCTTAAAAAAATACCAGCAGTTCCTCATGCAATATATTCTGCATTTATAAAAATTAGTTTTTAAGAAAAATCTTTCGTTTGCCTATGAAAACATGTTTAAACCTGGATTATGTCATTATTTTAGTCACATTGTAATATAAATTGTTCTTAAATGCTGTCTTATGCTTTTGACTTCAGTGGGTGTGGTTAGTCAAAGGAAAGGCTTTATCTGGAAAGGGCTAGCAGCATTTTCTTTGGATACGTTCTCAATTTAGAGAAAGTTTGATGTTCTTAAAGTAGTCACTTTGCCAGCTTAAAAAAAAAAAATCCCTGCCTGTAGTTGTTGAAGTTAATGCTAATATTGTGTATGATCTTAAATCTAAATGTTCAGCTTACCCTGTGTGGTATAGGTGATATTTCAAGCAGATTGTAAAACATCTTGCATTGTTAGCAAACTTTTATCTAGTACATCATTGAGTTGCTCAATATTTTGATGTTTTGGTTTTATGCACCTTGTTGCTATTAACATCCATATGTTTTCATGTAGATTTCAATAACTTGAATATATTTAGAAGCCTTTTTATTTAGAAATATATAGTTGTCACAAACAGCTTATTTTCCTATATGTACTGTACAAAACCTTCATTCACTCATTCTTTTTGCTCTTTGTGGTTGGATCTAACACTAACTGTATTGTTTTCTTACATCAATAAACTATATGTGGACCAGGCCCCTTTGGGGAGTGTGTTATCTGAGAGAAATGAGATAATTTATATTTTTGTTAGTGGTTATTGTTCATCCGTGTTCCCTTTTTAACTTAGAGTTGATTGGAAATCACTGCTTCCTTATTTTGATTGTAACATCTCTGTGTTAATTATTTGAGCCTGTTCAGTACTGAAGTCTCCCAGACAGTGTTGTACTACCACTCGCCAAAGACGTTACACTTCTGTAATCACACCAGTGAGCAAACCTGGCAGCGAGGAGGCAGCATTTTTGTTTTACTATAGAGCAGAAAGAATTCATCTTTATGAACAGCTTAAAGGCTTGTCTCTGGAAGCTTTATCAAGGTAACACAGGAAAGCAGGAAAAGGTAAAATTCACAGGAATGATTGATCTGAGATGGATTTCTATCACCAAACTCCACGATTAAAAAATTAAGCTGGTACTTGATGAAACTAGTTCCACATTTTTGTGCTGTTGACCCAGTGACTTTCCTCATTTTGCTGTCAAAAAACACAATGCTACTGGTAACCCTGTGTTGTGTAAATATGGTCAAGATATTCTGTGCATACTCCAAACTATTTTTAAAAAACTTAATATAAGTAATCAATCGTGGAGTGTCACAGGAGTTACTTTGGTTTTATGTTGTAAAGTTTTTTGTTTCATTGCACTGTTTTGAAATCAATGTCATAGTACATAAGCATAACCTGTTCTCTAAAATTACTATTTCACTGAAAGGAGCACTTTCCAAACTGCCACACTCTCAAACTAAAAGGACACTATTAACAAAAAATAAGGCACTGGCAGCAGAAGATAGTTGCACACTTGTTAAAGTTTTGAGCAGAAATTGCACAGAGAGGTGTAGGTATGTAGGGGCAGTCAGCTGCAGCTGAAGCTTCATGCAGAGAACATTTTCACTAGTGAACATTTAAAATGCATTTTTAAATGGCTAAAAGCAGCAGAGTTCCTCCCTGCCTGCTGTGTCTGGGCTGGCATTCTTTCTATGGCATCTCTCTCTGTCAGCAGTTAGGGGGTTTAAACAGTGAAATTGGGTTAAGCCCCCACTCTAGGGCATCCCTCCTGCTTTAGCTCTGCATGGATTGATGTGGTGTTTCTGTGTGTCTTGCAGGCAGGTGAAAAGTGCAGCTGGGTTCTACTTTTGTACAACCCCACCAAGCATCGAGCTGCCTGGGGTGGGTTATCCCTTTGCACTCCCAAGAGACAGGTCGGAGGTGTCTTGGCTCTCTTGGCCTGTTTTGGAGGAGCCTGACCTGTTTGGATCTGTCAGGTCCTCATTGCACTGAGAGGCAGAATGTTTTCAGACTAAAATCAGTGTTAAAAAGAGAAGGAAAACTGAAATGACCCATATGATTTATAGTCATGAGCCCACTGGAGTCAGAGAGTACCTTGGGTTGGAAGGGACTTTAAAGATCATCTTGTTCCCATTCCCCTGTCATAGGCAGGACCTATTCCTTGAGATCAGGTTGCTCAGAGCCCCACCCACCCTGGCCTTGATCATCTCTGATCTTAGTGACAGCAGCTGTGGATTTAACTGAGCCATGTTTCATATAAAAATCTCAATTCTAACATTTTTTACTATGCATAATAACATTTACTATGCATAATAATAACATTTTGATTACTGTGATGAACTGCAGTATCTGTATTGGTTTACTGTAGGGGAAAAACAACCTAACAAAACTCCTCCCCAAGTCTCCTGGAGACACTGAACAAGGCACAGAAAAGGAACAGTAATTGCTCTGGCATTGTAAGAGCTTTGCTAAACGCAGATGCCAGTTTGCAAAACCTAGAAGTACATCTTTCAGTTGTTTGGGTTTTTTTCCCCCATTACACTTTTTTTTTTGGGGGGGGGGGGGTGTTCTCTTTAGACTCCAGGAACACACAGTATGATTCTGGAGCTAATTTGGAGTACAAGCTTCTAGAATAAATAGCTTTCTAAGTGTTTTCTTAGTGATTTTGCATACTTTCTTTGCTGACTTGCTGCCTTTTTAAAATGTTGAGGCACCATATTAGAAATTATGAGGAAATTAATGACTGTGAGGATGATGAGACATTGGCACAAGTTTCCTAAAGTAGCTGTGGGTAACCCAGCCCTGGAAGTGTCCAAGGCCAGGTTGGATGGAGCTTGGAGCAACCTGGGATTGGGAAAGGTGTTCCTGCCCATGGTAGGGGGTTGGAACTAGATGGGTTTTAAGGTCCCTTCTCACCCAAATAATTCTGTGATTTATTCTTTGTTGTAAAGAAGAAACTATGGGTAAATACAGTATTTTCTCCTGTATATAAACATGCTAATTATGTGAAAATGGTAAACTGAGGAGAATTACAAAGTTATGTCCCAAGTTTTCCTGACTACAGCAGTAGTCAAGCCATGCCTTCTTCAGGGCACAGTACAATTATTGTTTTTACATGCAGATTTTAATTGATGTTTTAATCATCAACAATGATGATTTTGTTAAAGGGTAAAGGATTTTTTAAACTGGTATTTAGAATTACATAATTCCTTCCTTCACCTCTAAGTAGTTAAAATTAAGTACAGCTGTAACTCCCCAGAAATCACTTAAATAGGCTGTGCAGTAATTTATCTTGGGTGTAAAATGCTGAGCAAATGAAGGTAGCCTGGAGTCCAAAGTACCTCTTGGTAATATCCACCTAGTGAGATTGCCTTGGACTTTGGTGATCTTTGAAAACCTTTGGGTGAAGTGGAAACAACTCACCTGAGGATCAAAACTTAATAGTATCTGTATACACACATTAAACTCCCCAAAGTAATTACTGAATTAAAGAATTGCAGATTAGGGCCCAAATGAACCATCTACACATAACACTGATGAGGGTTTTAAAGCTTAGTTTGGATGAAATTATCAGCTCTGCTTTCAATGAAATACAGCCGTTAGATCAGATAATTCTGATGATTACAGGTTAAACTATTGCATATTTAATAGTAATGTTTCATTACTACAAGAGCTGTTTAAAGAGCTAAGCACTGGTGGCTAAAGGCAGGATCTGTTGGCAAGTGTTCTCCCCTGTTCCACAGCTGAGTGAATCTTGGTGCAGTGGGATCTGGGAGCATCCTGCCACTGTCAGCCAGGCTGGACGGGCCCCAGGTCAGCAATCTGTGCCCTTGCACTGCTGTCCTGCTCCTGACCAGGGCACACATCTCACTCAAATGTCACTGCACTTAGGCACGGTACTCACACTGCAAGTGTCCAGCATGAGAAGAAACTCCTCACAGGCCACAGGGATTTTGTAGTTAGTCCATTTCCATAGGAATTCCACACAAGTTGGGTATCCAGCTTTCATTAAAAATACCATGATGACTTAACTCCCTGAAAAGCTCCATTCTGGAGGACTGTGATTTTTAATCCAAATTCTAGAAATGAATTGTCATTTTCCATCTGCTTCCCTGTTTACCTTGAGCAAGTTACCAAAAAGTTAAAGAGTTTGCTGCTGGATTTATACAGTACAGTAGATTTTGTGAATAATAGCAGTATTCTCTCATGAAGAAGTGGTATATTTTAATGGAATTCTTTTTTGGAACCAACGTATTGCAATTGATATTTCTCTTGAAACATTTTGACGTATTTGTGACTGTATTTCTTTTTGATTGTGTAACAGTATAAAATTCAATAAAAGAGAGGGTTTGTTTCTACTTTGTGACATCTGTGATCTTTCTGTCTGTCCCTTTTCCCTACTGTAAAAGGTGGAGATGACTTCAAAGTGAACTAAACCACTGTGCAGAGTAACAAACTCCTTGCAGGCTTGAGACTTTACTGCCTAGTGTCAGAAACTTGGGCATCAAGCAGACATGGTCACTGTCCCCAGAAACATACATTTTATATTAAATATATAATATTTATATATGAGCTGGATCCTATTCACATGTGGTTATCCCACTTGAGTTAAGCAGATCACATGCATGAACAAAAGAGGTCAAACATGCAATTTAACAAGTTGAATATGGGGATGGTGTAGGTTTTCCTGGAGGAAGCCAAAGAGAGAGCAACAGCTCCAGAACTAGAGGGACAAAGAACATTTATGGAGCCTCTTTGATTAATCACAGCAGGAATGCCCTTAGTAACAAAACACAAACTCCACGTTTGAATCCACAATCATGTCTCCAGGTTGGTACACACAAATTACTCGACAAGAACTTGTGACTCCTGCTGTCCTGTTAAATCAATGCCACTTCCCACTGCACAGATTAAAAAGCTTCTGCAACGTTTGTGCTTGTTGGGAAGTCTGAAAGCAGGAGGCATGTGCCAGTAGAGTATGATCCTGTTACTAGCAGTAGGTTTGTACATACCAAAGGTGGAATAAGCTATTTAATAAAATATATTCATGATTTATTTTCATGTTTTCAACTAGAACATGTGTTTTAATGCAATCATATAAAATATTTTTTAAAAGACTTGTCTTGTGCCATATGCATCTGGAAAACCCCATTACTTCTATCTGTGCAGGATAAATGCCTTTTGAATTGCAACTTATAAACTAGGAATTAATAGAGCAAATACGATTTCATCCTTTTGTTTAGCAGTTGAACATGAAGAAGATACAGTAACCAGCACACTCTATCTTACATCATTAATTATCTTTTTTTAGTTTGAAAGTATTGTTCTAAAATGCATTAATGAATAATCTGAAGAAGCACTGAAAACACAGCTGATGAAGAAGAGTAGAGTATTAATTAGTCTAAAAATTGATACTGTATTCAATTTTATATACCACATCAGGGGAATTGTATAGAGAGACCCTGTTAATTGGTTTTATTCTTCTGCAATTTGATTCTTTATATGGTACCCAAACATCCTACAACAGAATGCTTAGGGCACATTCACATGGGCACAACAGCCTCATCCTCACTACATCTTGCATCATGCAGCCACATCTCCCTTAGGAAAAAAAATCATACCATATAGTGTTCCTTCAAACATTATCTCTGAGAAATCAAGCCACTCGTTGCAAGCTGAAAATACAGAAACTAGAAAACACACTCAGAGCTTTAGAAA